CTCCTGTAGCCTGACACAGTGTTGGGCCTCTGGTCACAGATGACAAGACAAACATGCGTGGCTTTGTGGTGCTATCTGACCATTTTGTTCAACGTTTAATTGCTAAAAGATGTCATTATTTTTCAGTTATTTTGCGTTCACCCTGGACATTTCCCAAAGGGACTCATGGAAGCTGGCCTGGGAGACAGTGCTGTCCCTGTCAGGTTCCAAGCTCCTGGACGTGTGTGTTCACATCTGTCCTTCTTGTGCCCTCCCAGACTTTGTCCTGTGAGCCTTTCATGGGGCTTGATTCAGAGGCCAGGGATCTCCAGGCAGCCACAAGGACTGGGCCATCCTTGCTTCTCATGCCTCAGTCTGTAAAATGTGAGAAGGACGTCAGAGGGTCTGCACGTCCCTTCCTGTTCTGGCACCCTAGTTCTGTGAGCCCCTCTCCTAAACTGGCCACACTGGTGGCCTGAAGTGAATTTGCACCCCAAGGAGCTTCAACAATTGTTAATGTATGTCCAGTCTTGTTGGTCTCTACCCTCTGCCCCCACCCCCATAAATCCTAGACACCACCTCACTTTATCCACAAGCCCTCAGCTCTAGCATCTGGGCTGCAGGGGTGGGCTGTAGCTGTCTAGCCCTGGGGTCATTGAGGCCAGGTGTGTGAGAGTTGGCTGAGATAAAAGGTGGTTGGTGGATTGGCTGGGAATGGGCTGGTTTGCAAATGAAAGGCAGAGTTTTCTGGGGAGTTGTTTATTGTCTCTAGAAATTAGCTAGCCCTGGGATTTTTAACAGTGTCCTTCCTTTTTTGATCCTTCACGGTGGGCAGGGGGAGGGGTGTTGTGTTATGTGCTCCTCCTGTCCCTCTTCATTTCCTGTGAACTGGTGGATCTTCTGGGAGAGCTTGTTGGTTCTTTGGTCTGCTTGCATTTTAAAACCCTCCCCTGGATGGCTGGGTACTTCCCACTGCTCCTCCCCAGTGGGTGGGCGCTGGCTGCTTCTCTTCTTGCCTGTTGAGGTTGACGAGGTTGAGGCTGATGATGGATTGGTGGTCGTCCCACTGGTCACTGGTCTCCCATCAGTGTTGCCCCCAGTGGTTTTATAGCAGCTGCCTCGGAAGCATTGCTGGGATTTTGTGTGTCATTTGGGTTTGCAGGTGGTGGTTTTTAATTCCATCATTTCTTCTGCTCATATTTTGTTTTAAAGAGTATTTACTCATCAGCTATTTGGTTATCCACACAAATAAAAAGTGCTGGATTATTTCCATGTATTTGTCAGCTTTCGAAATAATGAATTAGCACCTCGTTGTGAACTCATGGATTTTTAAAAACATTGATGTGCTTTGATCCATTGCCGTCTTTTTTTATTTTTGGTGCTCAGATTTCCCATTTTGGCAAGTGGGACCCGTCAGGTAGCTCCTGTTCCCTCTGACCAGGCCCAGCACCTCTGGGCGGTGTCTCGGGAGTCGGCAGTTTTCCAGAAGCCCTGGTTTCTTTCTTTGGGAAATGGGTTTTCAGGCCCATAATCTGGGTTGCCTTTGGTCCTGGGACTTTTCAGAGCACAGAGACAGGAGATGTTTTTAGAAAAAGAAAAATAAATGGTGAGTTTATATTGATGTTTCCAATTCACTTAACTTCACTCCTTTGATCTTCACTCCTTTTCCATGATGCTGAAAATCCTAATGGCAGTGATGTTATTTGTTTCATCCTTCTATATATAGTAAGTTTAAAATAACATTGTGAATATTATTATCGACAATAAGACTACTGAGTGTAATTGAAGATTTCTTTGTGGTTATTTTTGTTTGGGGGTTAAAGCCTACCGGATAGACAGTCAAATACATGCTTTCATGTCATAATTCTTCTCTGTGTGGCCATGTTGCCACACAGAGAAGTGGTGCCAGCTAGGTGTATTTCATTTTGGTTTTGATCTTTGAGGCATTGCATTTTTAGTTTAATCTTTCATTTTAGGTACATAGGATGTTTGCGTGGTTCAGTTCCACGGTGAAAAATCTAAGCAGAGGTACGCTGAACGGCCCTACCCTGCCTCACCGTCTCCTTCACCATGCGGTTAAACGTTTGTGCTGGGGGTGGCTTTGACCCTTCTCTGTTCCTTTTTGTTCCTTTCTGATACCAGGAGCACATGTGAAACTGACAGGGCCTCCTCCCAGTCCTTTCTGAGGCTGGAGAGACTTCCTACTGTTCCTGCCGACAGACAGGTGTCTGTGCAGTTCTTGGGCGTCAGCTCTTTTGCCCTTTGTGTCCGTCCCGCTGTAGCAGGAAGCTCCATGAAAACAAAGACCTTCTCTGTTTTCATTTTCACTTTCATATATTTGGTACTTAACACAGTGGCTGGCATATCCTGGGGCTCCATGAAAGGAATTGTGGGAGAATGAATTATGAAAGTTGCAATTGACATGACCATTCTGCCTACCTTCGACTCTGTGGACGCAGCAGGTTCAATTTGTGCGGTCAGAGTAGCCATCCACACTCTACTGTGTAGAAATAGAGTTTTCTAAAATTTCCTGTTTCATTTTCCCACTGATAGCCAAACACTCAGTCTTACAAAGTTAATAGCACTCGGCCAGTTTGGGTTTTGAATGCAGTCACTTAGGGGCAAAAACTGGATTAATTCAGGCCTTCCCTTCCCACCTTCTTCTGCTGCTGGGGGTGCTCCCAGGTCCTGGGACTTACCTGCTTTCTCAGAATGGGGAACAGTGCGGGGGTCCCTGCATTGTCCTCTGGCCTCCCTGGACTGCACTGTTTCAGAGCTGGCCCTAGAGGGGCTTGGGCATCTTAGAGCTCTGGAAGTGGCAGTGGATCTTCCTGACGAGGGGCTGGCACTGTGTCCAGGCACTGGCCTCCCAGCCGCACCTTCTCTGGGACAAGATGCTGCCCTTGGCGTGAACACTGACTGTGGTCCCAGTCCCTGGCATTGCTGCAATGATAGTAACCACAGTGCTGGCCACTGAGCTGAGACCCTCACTCAGATTGTTGTGGGGTCACCACAGCCAGCCTCCAAGCAGGCATATTCAGACCCCATAGGATACATAGGAGATGGCAGCCTGCCCTCAGGCTGAGTGGACACAAGCACCTGCTCTCAGGCCCCTGTGACAGGCTTGTGTCAGCCCGAGCACAGCCTGCTGGGGTTGGGGGGTGATGTGGGAGAAACCTCTCCCATGGATGGAGGCCAGTGTCCTAAGGGTTATGTGGCTGCCATGGTTACACAGAGGTGGAGGGGACCCTAGGTGGCCAGAACAGACTCTTACCAGCCACTCTGCAACCAGCTCCCTGTCAGGGGAGGAGCCTGCAGGGTCCTGACAAAGTGGACGTGGACACTGGGCTTTCCAAGACTGTTCTCTGTCCCTCTGACAGGCCGAAGCCTCCACTCACTTCCTCCCCTCGTCTGTGTGTCCAGGGCCTTGGCATGCTGAGGGAGCCCAGGGGTGGAAGGAGCTAGACATGGAGCTGTTTCCATGCCTGATGGCGCCCGCTTCTCAGAGGCTCGGCGGTGGCCAGTGACATCTCTCAGGGTCCAGAGGGCAGACCAGGACAGCAGAGGGTTCATCTGTCTGCCGAACTCTGGGAAGATATTCCCATAGACAGGCTGGAGGGGACCCCATCCATTTAGCTGCTAGGATGACCCCCCAGCTCAGCCTGGGGACTGGGGCTCCCAGCGGCTAGCACAGCCCTGTGCTGCCCTGACTGCTCTGTGCTGGCCCTGGGTTTCCTTGAAGTGTGGGGCACCAGTGAGCACAGGGATCATGGGAGCTGGGAATTCTCATCCCAAATGCACTGTGATAACTCACAGCATTCAAGAGAACCTGTAGGAGTCAGCCCATTTGTGAGAAACTGAAGGATAAAACTAAGCAGAAGCCATAGATATGTTCTCACAGTGGGCCGAGGAGTTCCCCGGCCTTAGGAGACAATCTCCATCTGCTGAGGTCCTTCCTCCCTCAGCGTCATGCCTGTGTGAGGCCGTTCTCTTCACAGGCATCCACGAAAGCGGTGCAGCATAAGGGATAGGTGTGGGAGGGGGCTGGAATCCGCTGTCTGCCCTGGAGACAGAATTGAAGAGACTTACAGAAGTGGACCACGATGCCACACTTCTCACTCATTGTCTTTTGTTTGGGAAAATGCCATATTTTCCCCAAAAACATTATTTATGTTAACACACAATGGATACTATTATATTTAAATGCATTCATACGTTTAAAATAGTTTCTTAGTTGTTGCTTCTCATTGGTAAATGTCAGTGGCTATAAGCCGTTTACACATAATGTTTTCGTGAGGTCCTCAGTTATTTCAAGATGTAAAGGGGTCCTAAAATGGAAATATTTTAGAACTGCTGTTTTAATGCTTTCCTTAAAAACAATAGTCACAATAATAATCCCAGCCGACATTTATAGATCCAAATAGTGTAGTTGCTTAGCTTAACTCTCCCCATCCTCACTGTGACCTGTGAGGCGGGTGCGGCTCTTCTTATCCATACCACTGTGTAAATGAGCGAATGCACATTCCCTGGTGTGCCCTGTGGGTGGGGAGGTCAGGAGCCCCAGATGGGTGAGGCCCGCCCTTCCTGGGGAGAAGGGACTGCGGGGGGCGGGGGAGGGATCTAGCACGTTCCAGAAGGGCTGTCCAAGGCAGTGTGCATGGGCCACCAGGGGAGGTGCTGTGGCATGGAATTCAGGGCGTTGGGGAAGATTCCCCATGGTGGTGGCTTTCCTGCTGCACCTTGAAGGATTGATCTGCAGAGCTGGTTGGCTGAGTGAAGAGGGCGGAGGGACGGACACCCCAAGGGGAAAGAGGCCCTGAGTAAGGTGAGAGGAGGGAGGGGGACATCGGTGTGAGCCTGGTCCCAGCCCTCAGGGCTGTGCTGACCACCCGAGGGTGTGGCCTGGGCTGCATCTTACTGGTGCTCTGTGGTCACCAGCATCTAGAGACAGTGAAGAAGGCAGAGGTGCCCCGGGCCACTGCGACGCCGTCTCTTACCATGTGTTTTGCTCTCCCCTGAAGGAGAACCACTGTCGCCGCATCAAGATCCTTGGAGATTGCTACTACTGCGTGTCAGGCCTCACCCAGCCCAAGACCGACCACGCCCACTGCTGCGTGGAGATGGGGCTCGACATGATCGACACCATCACGTAAGTGCCCTGGGGGATGGGAGGAGCACCCAGGGCATCCGCGGGTTCGGTAGTGGAGGCCGAGCCACCTTCCACCCTCCAGAGCCTGCTTTGCCCTGGTGGGTCCGTCCGGGGCTGCAGAGAAGGAGCCAGCATCAGATGCTGCTGGGCCCAGCAAGTCCCACCTGAGCTCTGAAGGATGATTCTGTGATTGTCTCCTTTACATTTTGTGTGTGATTGTATTTCTTTGTCCACAGGAGCCCCACATACTGTCAGATATGCATGAGTTGTGCAAAAAAATATTACCTTTAGAGCTTAGCTTTGTAAGATGTTCAGAACGGGTTGGCTCCAATCCAGCTGAATTCCATTTTAAAAGGAAATAAGTTTATGTTCTCTCTCCAGGCAGGTGATGGGTCTCAGGTGCTCTCTGTGTGGAGGGAGAGGGTTGGGATAGGAGGGCGAGTCTTCACGGGATGATCGTGCACCCATGAGGCTGGCCTGCCTGTGTCTTGGTCCGTCGTGTCTTGTTGTCATCCTTATCAGAGGCTGGGATGAAGGCGTAGGGCTTTCGTCAAGTTAGGGAAGGTGTGGAGCTGGTAGGGTGAGCCGATGTATGAAGTGTAGATTGAAGTTCAGACATCTCAAAGTGTGGAGAGACGGGTGCGCTGCAATGAAATGATTTAACAGGGATTGGTGTATAGTTTCATACCTGGAGCAGCAAAGTAACAGCACAAGAACCATGTGAGAGAGACGTGATGAAGTAGCTGCCGGGTGACAGAATGCACAGCACTCCGACAAACAGGCTGCGGAGATGGGGTGAGGCGGCACTGTATTGAGAGCTGCCCACGCCATGCTCCTGCAGACAGTGTGACTACAAGATGACAGGCATCAGGAGGGATCCCACCAGTGCCTTGGGCAGCGAGCTCAGTCCTGGAACCTGCCTGTTGGGGACACGTGAGCAAAACGGAGCCCTGCAGGCAGCTCTGTCCCTGGAAGCCATGTGCGACACTCCCAGTGATGCCAGATGAGGCCTGAGCCCCTCCCCTGGGTCTGGCTTGGGGGGTTCCCAGGTCTGAGCCCCTCTCCCTGACCAGTGAGATGTTCCGTGTGCGATCTGTGCCCACCCACCCTTTTCTGCTGAGACTTCTCCCCCGCGAGAGGCACCACCAGCTCTTTCCCTCCCAGACAGGCCTTTGGTACTAAGTCACCCCAAGAAACTGCTCCTGCTTAGCAGTTCTGGCCAATTGCAATGGCATTTCATGGTTTCAGCCAGCCGGTCCCCAGCCACTGCTCTTTCTGGGCCGCTGGGGCTTCTGACCCCCAGGGAGGGCGACAAGCCTGCTGGGTTCCTGGTTTCTGTCTTTGAGGTGATGTTTGTTTCCTTGAAACCTGAATATTCTTTGCTGTAAAATGGAGAAAAAGTGTTTGCATCTCTGAATTGTGAGGATTTAATGGGATCCCAGATTAAATGGGCCTGCGTAGAATTGGTTCTAGCAGCTGCCGCAGGCACTGATTCATCAGCGCTGATTCTGCAGGACCCCCTGTGAAGTGACATGGTTCTGTGCACCTGTAGTGGTTCTGGCCACTTTGTGGGGGGTCTCCTCCATCACCGGTGGTAGGCAAACCGAGAATCAGATCTGAACAAGAACCGCATTCCTCCCCGTGACCACCACGCGTGCAAGGCGCCATTTTGCTAAATAGATGTAATCCAGATGTGGCGTTGCTCCTGGTCTGCGTATTTTTGGTTTACTATATTGAACTAAGTTAGAAGTAACTGGCCTGCGCTTTTCCTTTTCTGACTCACCTTTGAGCTGGCAAATCCAGCTTGCTTGTCCTGTCGTCACTGGTAGACCCTGTGTTTCCCTGGCTGGAGCTCTGGAGGTCCTGTGCGAAGGGATGCCGGGGGCCTTGTCTGCCTGGCAGCGGGGCTGTTCCCATGGCACCTTGCTTTTTAACGAGCTGGTGTGTGTCTGAGCCACAGAGCATGCCTCAGTTTCTCATTAGAGAGTAACTTGGGGATTACCTCCTCTAGTTACTGGATTCTAGTTTTCATAGCCAGACCTGTTGAAAAATTTACCGATGGGTTTTCTGCAGGGGAAGCAATGCCTGTGTGCAGAGCTTCTGAATCTTGTATATTCCAGGTTGAGAATCTGCATGTTTACAGATGGGGAAACTGAGGCCCAGGAGGGGAAACGAGGAGCCCAAGTTGAGGTTATGAGTTTGAGCACATGGGGATCGGAGCTATTTGCTCTACCCTTCTCACTGCGTCGGGGTGGAGGCTGCCGTGGGCAGGTATGTTGTTACTTCTGGAAATTCTGCCTAGGTGATAGCAAGTCGGCTTCTGTAGTGTCCTTTCTCCTCTTTTTTCCCTGTTATGTGCATGGCTGTGGCTGCAGTGCTTAGAATAATTGCTGAGGTGAGTGAGATCAGTAGATGCTCCTGGAACAAATGAACAAATGTATCCTCACCCGTCCTTTCATTTGTGAGCTTCCGTGTAGCCATGGTTAGGTTTCAGCCTTGCAGAATTTATTTATGCCATGGGGTTGACAGTGGCCCCTCTGCCACGGGGTGGCCACTTCCTCGTTTCCTCCCTGTCGGGGTCCAGCACAGAGAACTTGGGTCAGGGCTATGGATGGAGTCAGACTTCCCCCTGCATCGAACATACTGGAGATAAGTAAGTGAACCTCAGAGCACAAATGAGGAAAAAATAGGACAAATAAAGCCAAAAAGGGCTGCAGAAATCATGTTCCTTGGAGATGAAGTTGAAGGTTCTGTTGGATTTGGGCAAAGCCCGCATGGGCATCCCAGGAGGAGTCACCGTGAGAGCAGTTCTGGATGCATAATTTATTTAGAAGTAACTATCTTGTTAACTGCAGATCTGATGACACCAGAATTGAGATATTTGAGGCAGAACCTGTTGGGAAAGATTAAAGATGGAGAGTATTGGTAGAAAGTGCCGGGTAGCGGATGTCGTGTGGCTGCGTGGCTTTGGTTGGAGGCTGGCCGAGGTGCCGCTCGCTGGGAACTGAAGGTCTGCTGTGATGGGCTTGAGGGGATCTGGGGACGGAGGAGAACAAGGGTCCCAGAAGTCCATGACTACAGAGGTATAAACGTTAAAAGTTCACAAAAACACCATTCGCAAGTTTTGTTATTTTCATTTTCCCATACTCATTTTGTTTTGGAAATTTTGAAAAAAAAAAAATCTAACTTCAGGTTTTGTTTCAGTGCCTCTAATTGGAGATTGGCAAGTGATAGGAAAAAAGTTAAAATTAAAAAAAAAACATTAAAATGTGTAAAACTAAGTAGGTATTAAAGGTATATCAATAGTTTAACTTCCAAATAGCTTTTTCTGTAAATCTGTGGCATGCACACTTCGAGTTTACTGAAGCTGGACACTTACTAGGGCTCCTGGGACTCTGACTTGGATGTGTGTCAGACGACGAGGTCTGAGCTAGCTGTCTGTTGTCACCACCTCATGGTGACAGAGTCCAAGTATTTTCACACTTGATGAGATAGAAAGAACAGGAGAGTGGCCCACTCCCTTAAGCACTGGTGTGTGCTGGAATACAGATTAAATGATGTCAGAGCTGGACCAGCTTTACACACAAGGAACAGGCTCAGACGGGTATCGCCTGGGATTCACCGAAGTTCTCAATTCTTTCAGCACCTGCTCAGACTTCGGTTCTCCTTCTTGGGGGCCCTCCCCATGCTCTGTCATCCCCACCCCGGCTCCTGGTCAAAGCCCTCACGTAACCAGCCTCACCTCTGGACAAGGCTCCAGTCCCTGCCCCTGAGAATGGGACATTTGCACGGAGGCCCAGGGCCGAGTGTGTGTCAGTAAGCAGATGGGGAGGCAGAGAACGTGCTTAGGCTGCAGATCTTGTCCCCTGTTCCTGGTGGGCTGTCACCTCCCTGTGGCCAGCAGGTGAGTGTGGGCCCTCCTGATGGGTCACTGGCTGCACAGAGCCCTTTGTTAATCCACACCATCCTGACGCCACCCTCCAAAGACAGTGGTGACCAGACCCATGTGGGATTTGGGGGTCCTGGGCTCACTTCCCTTTAGAGACTACCCTGGGTGGGAAGGGGACTCATGGGCTGGTGTGGACACTCTGTGAGCTGGCCGGGAGCATGTCCGGGAGCCACCCTGCCTGCCTGGGGCCATCAGCTCGTGGGTGGCACAGGAAGGTGCCACCATCCACCAGCTAGGCCTAGAAACCTCATGCTCAGGCAGTGTGCAGCAGGGACAAGCCCAGCTCCCCTGATGCTCATGGCCCAGCAGTGCAGACCATGGCGGCCCACCAGGTAGATGCCAGGCAGGTTCCACCCCCATGCTCTGTGCCTGTGTTGCAGGTCCGTGGCCGAGGCCACCGAAGTGGACCTGAACATGCGCGTGGGTCTGCACACGGGCAGGGTCCTCTGTGGCGTCCTGGGCCTGCGCAAGTGGCAGTATGATGTGTGGTCCAACGATGTGACCCTGGCCAACGTTATGGAAGCTGCTGGCCTACCTGGGTAAGTTAGGGACAGGGCTGAAGGGGGAGGTGCACAGTGGCTGTGTGTCCTTGGCCTGAGTCCTCACTCCAGACACAGAGGCCCGAGATTCCAGTTTGACCCTCAGTGCCGGGACCCCAGAGGGCCCTGCTCGTCCCAGCTACATCTGCCAAGTGCATCCTGTGGCGGGGGTCCTGCCCAGCCCTGCTGCTGTCCTGAGCTGGGCATTTTGCTCTTCTGAGCCTGGCATACATCTGCAGAAAGCTGGCATTGGACTAGAAGCCCAGATGCAGGTGCATGTGGGGATTGTTGCTGGCGGCATGGTGCTGTCCTCACAGCTTATCGTTGCTTCTCTGTTTTGCTGTCTTTGGCTTCATTTTTTCAAATGTACAAATGGAACGTGCTGTGACTTTAGAGCCCTCTGTCCCTGAGCTCCACACAGCCATCCAGGAGTGGGCTCAGGCCTGGAGCTCGTGGATGTCTGGGTCACAGACGAGGTCTGTGAGCTTGCATAAAAATGCCAGGGGCTGTCAGTGGCCACGCACTGTGGCAGGCTCAGCTGTGTCTTGAAGGACGATTCTAGCACGCACCTCTGTTGTAATCTCCCTTTTGTGGGATTTTGCAGTGGCTACCCAGTGCCGGCAACCTCTCCAGAGTGCTGGCTGCCCCTCGGCATGCTCAGGGCCCACCATAGAGCAAGGACCTCAGTGAGAGCTGACGTCTTCCTCTCCCTGTCAGCTCCGGGAGGCCGGGCTACACAGCCGTCCATCTCCATTGCTGAAGGAATGAATGCGGCACCAACTGAATACAGGAATGGACACATACTTGCTTTTCTAGAGACCATTGGTGCTTAGAAGCTTCCAGATAGCCTGGGTGACCTTTGCAGTTGAGGGCCAGGCTGACGGGGGTGACAGTGTCTCAGGCATGCCCAGGGCCTCCCAGGAGGAGGCAGCCAGTGGTGAAGGCTGAGGCTTGCTCTGAGTAAGCACCCTGCCTATCTGGAGCCAACAGGAGCCTCTGATTGGGGCACCCAAGGAGCATCGCAGGGGGGCTGGGCTCTGGATTGATGGTGACACATGGCACCGGTGGACGGGGCAGCACAGGGACAGCACCCAGCACGTGGCGCGGGCTGGATTTGGAGAACCTGCCGGTGCTCCCCTCTGGGGCCCTCGTGGTTCTTCTCTTCCTGGCCTGGCAGTCCCTCACTGTCCCTCCCTCTCCCATCCGCGCCCTCCTCTGAGGATCATAACTGAGCTGCCCCAGCCCTGTCCTCGCCCTCTCTGGTCCCAGTGAGTTTGGGAACTCTGCCTCAGTCCGTCCATCACTGGAGCCGGGCTTCCTGCTTTCGTCCTCAGCCAGCCTTAGAGTTTGATTTTGAATCCTCCGTAAGGAATTCAGAAGATAGTGGGGTGAAGGGAAGATTTGGGTTTGCGGGGAGTGGTTTTGAATGCTGGGGAGTTTGCTCCTCATGTCACAAAGCCGCGTGCTCTGCTAGGCGGCGGGGGCTGTGGGGTGTGCTCTCTGTTCCGTTGTGTTTGCATTTTCTGCTGCGTGACGCTAACTCTGAGGGGTTCGCCTGCCCTCGCCAGAAGACTGGCTTGGGGAGGCGTGGACACCTTGGCCCCAGATGTGTTTCTCACCTCCCTGCCCCACCCTCACCTCCTGTGTGGACACCTCGGCCTGGGAGCCAGCCTGACTTCTGGCTGCCTGGCGGGGTCTGCCCTCTGCTTCTGCTGACAGAGCAGACCCCAACTGTCTGGGGAGGGGCTCCCATTTCTCCTCTTCCTCACCTCACTGCCACTTTTTCTTTTCTCACCTTCCCTGACGCATCCTTCTGATGTTTGTTTGTGTTTCTCTCCTTTGGTTCCTCCCCTGGCCCTGTATTCTCCCTTCCTCAGCCATCTCTGCTTCTCCTCCGGGTGCACGTTTCCCTCCTGCTCTTTACTACCCCGTCTGCCCAGGGCCCCCCTCCTGGCAGGGCAGACTTGCCTGGAATGAGTGCTGCTGGCGGAGCCTGCCCTGGGGCTGGAAGGCTCTGCCCCCTGCCCCTGCGGGACCCTGGGGACTCTGGGCAGCAGCGGTTGCCACTCAGCTCGCCTCTCTGCCTGCTTTTTTTGTAGGAAGGTTCATATCACGAAGACGACCCTGGCATGCTTGAATGGGGACTACGAGGTAGAACCAGGTTATGGACATGAGAGGAACAGTTTCCTGAAAACTCATAATATCGAAACCTTTTTTATTGTGCCATCCCATCGCAGAAAGGTAGGCCCTAGAACCACCTGTATTGATTGGTCCTTAACTGCTGGGCCTGGGCCAAGCTTTGGAGATGTAACTGCTCCTACTCCTCCTCCAATCACTGCTGCTCTGGGTGTGAAGGTGCTAAGACATAGATGGGTGTCCTGCTAAGGTTTTCCTGGGCCTTGACTCTTACAGGTGTGGAGAGGAGACCAGGTGAGGAGGGGGAGGGAGCATGAGCCCCTAGTCAGAGATCTGGGGTCACCTGAGAGCTGGGCCATCCTGTGTCCTGCCCCTCACCCCCAAGCCTTCCCTGCCTCCCTTGCAAAGTGGGCATGAGACCCCGCAGGGGGGTCAGGGATGGGGAACTCTGTGAACTGAGGGGTGCTGGGCACACAGGTGGGCTGTGATCATCTTATGTGGGGCACTTGAGGTCACCCTGCCCAGAGAAAAGTGATCTAGATATGATCAAGAGTGACCAAGCTGCTTTTAGGACTCAGGCAGGTAAGGGTGCTGGGCTCAGGTGAGGGGGGCAGGGCTCAGGTGAGGGTTCAGGGCCCAGGTGAGGGTGCAGGCTCAGGTGAGGGTTCAGGGCCCAGGTGTGGGTGTAGCATCAGGTGAGGGTGCAGGGCCCAGGTGAGGGGACAGGGCTATTTCCTGTGCTGGTTCTTTCTAAAGAAACAATTTATAGGAGTAAGCCTCAGTGTGACTGAGTCAATGCTGGCCTCCAGGCTCGGTCACACCGACACAGACAATAGCTGTGGGGTCCTGTGGTTCGAGGGCATACGGAGGTGAAGAGGTCAGGACGGTGGGCAGCTCCCTCTTTAGAGAAGTTTGGGTGGTGAGAAGGGAAGAGTGAGAATGCCCCGAAGCAGAGGGTGTTTTGTTGTTTTGAAGCATAGAGGAGATAGATATGTGCCTATCTGTAGGGCCGGTGAAGGAAAAGGTGAGAGGGGGGCGGCGAGGTCCGGAGGGCTGGCTGCAGGTGAGCCGGGGGCACTGCGTTCGTGGAGAACAGTGGGGTGAGAGCTGCTGTGGGGCCGGAGTTTTCAGCTCACTGACAGGACAGTCACACTGGCAAGAATGGTTACTGTGCCGTTATCCCCAGAGCTCTTAGGGTCCCACTTTCCTGTCACCTCGTTGGATCTTGAGAAGGCCCCAAGGGGTGCCTGGGTGACGCTCATTGCATTTGGCAGGTGAGAACCCAGGCCGTGAGGACTGTGAGGGTGTGGGGCCCTGAGCCCCGGCTCAGTGCTGGCCAGCGTGCGGGCCTCCCGGGCCTTTCTGTAGAACAGGGTGTGCTGGGAACTGGACAGGGGAACAGAAACCGTGAAGTGACACTGCTTCCAAGCCCGGGCTGTCTTTTCTGACTCAGGCCTCAAACCCTCCCTCCACTGCGGCCCAGCACTCGGTGGGGTGGGTTGCTTTGTTTGTTCCAGGCCTTTGGTATGGTTTGAGAATGGAGTGTCGTGGAAATGGGTTGAGGTATTGTTCACCGCTGTATCCCTGGCATGCCCCCACTGCCTGGTGCAGAGCAGGCACTGAGCAGATGAATCCCAGCCCCTGGGGTGACTGTTGCTGTCAGAGTCACGTTCCCAGCCTGAGAGGCCATGTGTCTCCTTCACAGCATTTCTCTTTGCCCGTTGTGTGTTTGACAGATATTTCCAGGCCTGATTCTCTCAGATATAAAACCGGCAAAGAGGATGAAGTTCAAGACCGTCTGCTACCTGCTGGTGCAGCTCATGCACTGCCGGAAGATGTTCAAGGCCGAGATCCCCTTCTCCAACGTCATGACCTGCGAGGACGATGACAAGGTAGGAGCAGCCCGAGAGGCCGCCGTGCCCAGGCTGATGGGTGCAATCTCTGTCCTGCCCTCCCGATATGGTCCCACACAATTTGGCGAGATCAGGACTCACGGTTCACATGCTTATAATCTTGTAAACGCGGCTCCGTACTGAGCTACTTTTTCTTTCCTGCAAAAATCTTCGTGTCATCTTGTACTCTTTGGCTTCTTGGTAGTCTATGCATTTGTCCCTTACCTGTGTATCGATCTGTATGTTCAAGCTGAAATCCCACCTGCTGTCGAAATCGCTCTCAGGATATTCATTCTGGTCACATGTCCATTTGATCTGCAGCCTGGTGCCGTCCCAGGCCGGCCCCTTCCACTTGCGGGCACCCCTCTGGCCCCCTGCCTCTCCTCACGTCACACGGGCTCCTCTCCCCGGTTCACTCCCTCGTTTACATGGATCTGGGCCCTGCAGCTGGCCGTGGAGGGAACAGAGGAGGTGAGCGCTGGAGGCTTGCCGTGTGTGAAGCCGTCTTTTCGGCCCTGCACGCCGGAGAGCCCTGCAGCCTGCTGGTGTATTGGGGTCTCGCTTTCTAGGCGTGTTCGTCCGCTGGGGCTGCCGTGATGGAATACCACAGCTGGGCGGCTTCAGCCACACACGTGTTTCTCACAGGCCCAGAGCGAGAAGTCCGTGGTCGAGGGACGGTTAGGGTGGATTTCTCCTGAGGCCGCTCCTGGGTTTGTAGTGACGTCTTTCTTTCCCTGTGTCCTCACATGACGGGGGGAGAGGGCTGTGGGGTCTTTCTTTCCCTCTCCTTGTGAGGGCGCTAATCCATCATGACCTCATCTAAGCCTAATCACCCCCCGAGGCCCCACCTTAGGGACCTTCACGTTGGGGGCTGAGGCTTCCACACATGGATTTTGGGGACCAACATTTGGTCCATTGCAGTTGGCGGTTATCTTTGTTTTGCTTAACTGTGTTCCAGCTTCCAGGGTTGCTGCAGAGAAGCTCAGAGCCATTCCAGTTCCTGACCCTTGATGGGACGCTTCTGTGTGTCCTCGCTCTCAGGAAGCTTGAGAACCCGTTCGCAGTGCCCAGTGTTCGGAACTGGTGCTCTGATGTGCCTTGATTTCGGTCTACTTTAATGCTTCGGGGGCAGTGACCCCCTGGACCCGGAGGATCCTCCTCTGGGAATACTCAGGGGTGATTCTGGTGATTATTTCTTTCCCTCCCTTTTGCCTATTCCCTTTTTTCTGAAACTCCTATTTGGGCGTTGTCCCTTCTGAACCGGTCTCATTCTCCTCTCTCTCCACCCCCTCCACTTTCTGGAAGATTTCTTCAACTTTATCATCCAACACTTACTATTAAGATTTTAATTTCTATAGCTACATTGAAAAAAATTTTCTATGAACTTCTTTTTGTTTTCCTGAATATTTCTTTTTATGACACCCTATTCCCACTTAAGGGATGTATTTTTTCCCCTTTTGTCTTGCAGAGATTTTTTATTGTTATTATTTTTATGTTTTGTTGTCCCAGAAATATCTCCGTTTCTCCTGAGCAGCTTCATTTGTAACTCCGTCTTCCACAGATGTCAAGTAGCCCTTCCGTTTGTTCTTGGGCAGTTCAGAGCTGATGGAAGTGCCGAGTCGCGGAGTCTAGGCGGAGGTTTTCCTCTTCGGGCTTTGCTGCAAGGTGTCTGGGATTTCCTGTCTTTCCTCTTGGGTCAGGCAGGGTCACCTGTGAATCGTCTAATCTTCTGCTGAGGGTGGGGTGGAGGCCTCACGTCCTAACCCTGGGCCAGAGACCCCCATGTCTGCCCCCTGCCACCAATCTTCTCTGGGGTCAGTGAGGGCCGTGTCCCAGGAGTGCAGGGTGAACTCTAGGGACCCGATGCTGCCTTGTAGACAGTTTCTGACCTGAGAAGCTGTTGCCACCAACACCTGAGCCTTTTGAACATGCCTGGCTTTCTCCATCGCCAGCGCGGTTCCTACCTTCGTGGGTCTGCATCGTCGATTTTCCGTTTTCTAAACTTGTGTTACTGCTTTCTCTGCTTTTGTTTTCTCTGCCTTCATGGGTTTTGTGTCTTTTAAAGAAACTTAGTTACTGCAGTTTTAGAGGCTTCTCAGGAAGAGGCAAAAATCCGCTGATTCTGGCTCATAGCGGCTTATTGCATCAAGGATTTTCTGTGTGAGTGGTTTTGGCTGTGAGCTCACATTCGATAGAACTTTAGCTGGAGATTCTGTAATCCGCTGTGTGTGCAGTGCATGCTATCGAAGAAGATTGGCCTTTATGTCTGCCAGGATCGGGGGGCTACTTTGAATCAAATGCTTGCCTTGTGTTTTTAGATGTCCCCGATAGCTAGAATTTTAGCCCCTGCTGGGCTGGTGTGTGTGTGTGTGTGTGTGTGTGTGTGTGTGTGTCTGTGTGTTTCCAAGGGGGTTCCCCCCCCATTCAGCTCTCGGTCCAAGACAGCGAAGCCACCTCGTCTCCCATGGCAAGATGCTTCCCCTGGTCGTTGTTTGCTGAGGTTGGAGCCTCTTGGGGCCTGGGATTCTCGCAGAGGCTTTGACCTCAAGTCCAGCCTTGCTTTTCACCCAGGTGTTCTGCGAGTGCCCCATTAACAACACAGCACTGCAGAAGCTGAGGGTGCAGCTGCCCTCAGAGCAGCCTGTGGCTCCTGCATCCCTGCCCTGTCTGGACTCCCCCCTGCCGAATGTTTCTGTTCCCTGATCGTTTTCCTTACTTTCTTGCCAGTTCATTTGTACATTTTAAAATGTGTGTGTTTTAATATTTTCAGTCAGATTTAGTAATGGGAGGATTTTTAGGCTATCTTGTTGGCCATATTACCGGAAGCACAAAAAGAGATTTAATTGCTATCTTCTTCCCACAGCACCGGGGCCCCCACCAGACCCCACAGGGCAGGGATGAGGGCAAGGTGAACCAGGCGCACAGTTTAAGTGCATGCCCAAGATTCAGTCATCAAGATAAATAATATTTTCAAGCAATATTTTAAAAAATCAAATTTAATCCGAAGGAAACCATGTTGAACTAAAAATCATCAAAAATCAAAATTTCTTAAAAAGGCAGGAGAGTACAGAGCTATTGTGGGCCCTGATGCAAAAGGTAATATTGGAAATCAGGGCTTCTCTCCACCCGAGACTTACTCAGAGCAGTTGAGTTGGAGGTTTGGGGGAGCGCAAATCATTCTTTCTTCAGTTGCTGAGGGGCATGGGTTTAATAAGACCTAGGCAGAGAGTGTCAGCCTCTCACATACTCAAACTCTGACAAGCCAAGACAGGGGCTTCGTCCCTCTCCTGGACCGGAGCAGCATCTGTGGGGCGGTCGCACGCTCGGATGTCAGCTGGCACCAGCAGCATGCTCCCAGTTTGGAAATGGCTGCAAACCTGGGCTTCCGGGGCTCCCCTTTCCCAAGCCATCTGCAGCCCCCACCCTGCTGCTGGTATCCCCAGGAATGTACAGGGAGCCTGCAGCCCAGCCTTCCTGGTCCATCAACCTCGGCCGCCTGTGCCACCCCACCCCAGCCTCGGCAGACCTGCTTGCATGCAGGGTCCCTCACTCTCCTTTCACCCCAGCGGCTGGAGTTGCTGTCCACATTCCTCATTTCCATTCATTCCCAGGCCACCAAAGCCCAGCTTCTGTGTCCACCGTGCTGGTCAAAGATGTGGATGCTTTGCATCCTCCTGCCTTCCCTAGGGACACTCACTGAGTGGTGGTGTGCCCAGTGTCATCCTCCGCCCTCTGTCCCCACAGTCTCCCTGGACAGCAGGCACATACCCATGGTCTCACCTGTGTGCTCAGGGTGCGGGATCCCAGCTCAGACCACTCCAGGCATGTCGTCTGTCTGCCCAGACCCTGGACTGACTGGGCTTAGGGTCCGACACATCCACTTCCCCTGGCCCAGGCCTGGCTCTCAGCGCCTCTGGGATTGCATGCCTTCTCTCTCAACACTCCGCCATGACTCCTGCAGGCTCTGGGCCTTCGCCCCTGCTCCTTGTGATCTGGCCCTGGGCCCTGCCCCAGCCTGGCCCCTCTAGCCCCTTCCAGGTGGGCTGCACCCTGGTGCTGGGCCCTCCTGCCTTGGGTGGTTATCAGCTAAGCCTGGCCCCACCCACCTGTCATCTCTGTCCCCAGCCTCCAAGCTTGTGCCTCCTCTGTCTGCCTGTCCAACTGTCCCCTGTGGGGTTCGCTGCCTCCCTCCCTGTACAGGAACTCTCTGCAGGCAGATGTTCTACCCCCGCCCCCCTGCACTTCCGGCCAGCAGCCCAGCCAGCACCTCCAGACTGGTCAAAACATCTTGTCTCCACCTCTGACCCTCCCCCCAGCTTCTGGGAAGGTGCTGTGGGCGTGAGTGGAGGGGGTAGTGAGCCAGGGAGCCTGAGCCTGTGCTTTTCC